CTGTAACACAACTTCTGATATTGTGATTTCTAGGTTTTCAACTGAGGGAAGAAGTTGATTTTTTGACATTTCGCTAGTAGATGGCGCTATAATTTCTAAGTTGGGTTTTTGAATAATCACGATATCCCACACTTGTTTACGCCAAGAAGGCTAAAAGTCACTTAAATTCCAAAAATGCGCGCTGGTGAAGACAATGGAAGTTTCAACGATACAGAGAAAAAAGATGGTTATTGGTTTAGATCAGATGAACAATGTGACGGACACGATCCTCCGACTGATAGCAGTTTTGATAGTGACTCTGAGCGAGTAACTCAGGAGGATAAATACAGTGGCTTATGACATTACTGACGTTATAGTTGTGGCTTATGCCCTTGTCATGCCAAAAAACTATTTTTGCATTAAATTCACAATACAGATTATGATTTCAAACTGTTTACTAATCAGAATAGATCATTACCCTTAGCGAGAATGACTATTATAGACCGCAAATAACTTTAATACGTGTCAATAATACGTAAATTTGTTATGGGTGGATTATGACTTTCTTGACCAAATAAATTTAACCGTGTGTCTTGTGACCTTCAGGATCATTTACATTTTTTTCGAAATAGAGATCTGGAACAGTCTCAATTGAAAAAGAGATCAATTTAGCTCCAAAACTGCCACGTAAAAAAACTTTAACGTAGATAAGGAGTCTGACAAATTTGGCGTAATCAGTTGTTTGAAGTCTATCAATCAATGAACAGCTGAATTATATTTTTATAAAATCAAATTTTATAATATATATATATATATATATATATATATATATATATATTTATCTATGTAATTTTTATTTATTTATAATTTTTAGATTACCAAGCCACAGAGTATTTTGTTTCTCTCTTAATCTTTGATTTTTGAAAAATTAAGCTGTAAACGTGATTTCAGGGTTTACATAAAAGTTATAACTTCAAATTACTTGAAATAAAGTCAACGTGGCTTATGTGCTTTATTGCCTCAAGCCCTTCAATTAATGCTGAATGATCATTGGTCGAATGCTTTACGTAAATCAAAAAATATACTCTATGTAGCTTGTTTCATTTAAATTTTTTTTGGTAAGTTGGATAGATAGCTTAACTTGCTTAATACAATAGGTAGACAGGCCTTTTTTATCAAGGAAGTAAATGTAGGAGTGAAAGCATTATGAGGCATTGGCCACCTTGCGGTCTCTGTTACGTGTTTGACCCAAAAACTTCTTTGAAAGGGCTATCAGCTATGGGTCCAGCCAATGTCTACCGTCTAATTCCAAGATTTTAGACGCCGATATAACTTTTATATCGAAGCAGTCGCGTAGCCAAGCTTTGTTAATCCGATTTTTAGGCTCATCAAGGTTAAGTAGAACTGGAAAAAACCTCCTCAGGTAGAATCTCGGTATTCTAGGGTCAAAGGAGCATTCGTATAGACCAGTTTTGGATGTATCAAATTCGACACGGTTAATATGGGAAGCCGAATTCAGGTGGGTCTGTCTGTCAGGCACATCTTGCGGCAGCAATATGAAGGATAGTGTTAAGGAGTAAAGCTCGTTGACATCACGACAGAAGAGAGCTTGATCGTTGACGGCCCTTTGGTAGGGCAGGATCCCGAAACTGTTAGAGAAGAGTCATCGATCAGTCGGAAGACCTTCCTTGGAACAGCATAGAGCATGGATCGGGAGCGGCAAATATGTGAGCAGTGCTCGAGGCTAAGTCTTATTTGAGCATTATACAAAGTGAGCTGTAGGTAATCATGCCAGATCAGGTTCTCGGTGATGTGGACTCCAACCAGACAAAATGAACGGCTCTTTGATAGCACTCGGACATACATCGAAATCGGATGAGCGCTTGATGGTACAAAACGTACGATGAGGATATTTCCAGGAAGAATCACACGTGATTCTTGTAATAAAAATGAACAAAGAGGTATTCTTCTCGTTATACTTGGGGTTATTTCTCCATCCCATAATATTAGGGAAATGATAAAGGAGCATTTTGAACTAATTCTTTAAAAAAATGAGAACAGGAGTGGAATCCCGTATCCCATCGGATCGTACATATCGATACGTTTCCATTTAATCGATACTCTGTGCTTTCACAGAATCGACACGTTGCTGTTTGCCCTCACAATGTCATTGCTGATACTTTTGAGCTGTCGTGTTCATTGGTCTAAGATTAGGTAAAAATAGATCTCATTTATTAATAATTTAGTTATAAAAATAGTGTTGGCATTCTCCATTTTTTTTATACTCCAACTACCACGAAGGCCTAAGGCCTAAACACCCATTGGGTACCGTGGGGCTATAGGGGGATACAGGGGAGTTAAAATACATAATGCGCCATTTTTCGGTTTAACGAAACAATGCCTCAAATCGCGTATCTTCAAAGAAAAAATGGCGCCAAGTAGATTGACTCTATACTTTCTACATCTTCGTTGGAGATTACAAAGAAAAGAGATGATTCAAATTGTTTCAAAATGCGAAATTGAATCGTGGTCAGGTAGGCTCACTTAGGTACGATAAATCTTCGCCCTCTACATGTCAATCTATATAAATTAAATCTATCATATTTCTGTCTCCATGGCGTGTAGGTGAAAATATGTGTGACTTATTTCTCTGACAGGTGCATAGTATCACCCAGATCAGCAGCCTCTGAATAATAGAAGGTCTTCCACTCACATCAAATATGCAACAATTTACAACCGTTTAACGCAAAGAGCTTCCAACCAACAATTTTTATCCTCTCTAAGCAATGTCTCAAAAAGAGCAGGAATCTCTGAATCATTTTAACTCTATGTTTCAGCGATTTTGTTTTCGCTGCCTGTGAATCAATTTTCAGAATTTACAACATAACCAACGGAATTATTAAGCTCGCTGCATCACACAAGTATGTGTATGTGTTGTATATCAATGCATCATACGTACTAAGTCAGTCTAATATCAAAGAACCATCATAGTCAGAGTAAAGCAAATTGAAGGTTAGACCAAATGGATACTACATTTAAGAATCATACAATTCAGAAAAATATGAGTGGATAGAGGAAAGTACCCTAATATGAGACACCTTTTTATTCTTTGAATTATCTAATGAACCTCTCATGTCATAATAATCAGAATTTAGTAGAACACAGTCTACGTTTACTTTAGTTATACGTCCGTATAATTAAGAGAGGGCAAAATAAAGAGGCTTTATAAAAAATGGAGAAAAGTGAAAAGTCTTTTTTTTCAATTTACAATTTGGGGTCCTAATATGAGACATCAGGGTTTCGTAATATAAGACTGCCTCATATTAGGTTCCAAATAAAAAAAAAACTCATATTTCATAAGTTTAATTGTAAAATAAAACATTATTCTACTCTGAAAGAGTATCAACATAATGGAATATAATAACTATTAAAAATATACCAAGTAATTTACAAAAACTGTTTAAGAACTATTTATTCGAAAATTAGTTTTCTTTTTCCTTCTTTCCTTTCACAAAGTGGACATGTGAAGGATTTTCCTTCAGTTTCGCCACAATCTTCATGAGCTCAACGAAAGCAAACAACACATTGGGCCCAGGTTTCTCCTCTTGTGTCCTCGGAATATTTTCCAGAGCAAAAATAGTATTCTGCGTCATCTTTATCCATATCATTGGAATCATCCAACTCTACGTCTGACTCTAGTTCTGACTCCGAACTACTAGACGCCTTTCTCTTCACTTGTTTTTTTTCTCTTTTGGTACAATGGGATTTGCTTTTTTGACATCTTTTTTTTAATAGATTCTTCCAGAGTTTATTATATGGAGTGGATGTAATTAGGCTCGCTATACCTTTTTCGAGACAGACTCGTGCTAGTTCCAGAAGTTGATGGTATTGCCTGGATGTCTTGTGGTGAAACTAGCGATGAACTTATAGGCTCAGCTGAATTATTATTATGAGTCGTAATATTGTTATTATTTCTTTCATTGTTTACCTCCACATTTTCGTCTTATTCTATGTTTTGATCTAGTTGCCTTTCCGTGAAATCGATGTATTTGAAAATGTTTCTCTTGCACGGGAAAAGTCCAGTTCTTCTAAACGAGTTAATGGATGCTTCCATTGTGGCGGCTCATTTCTAAGGAAAGTTTCTATTTCCTGTGCATAATAAGTTTTTAGTGGTGCTATAAAACCCACATCGAGGGGCTGCATTTCATGCGTTGCATGAGGGAGTAGGCAAACTATGGACACGTGATCCTGCCTAGCCATTTCTATTACCTCTATGTTCCTCGTGTGGGAGTAATGGCCATCAAGAACCAGACAAACGGGATCGTCCTTAGTTGGTTTGTCAAAGTTTATGAAATGAGCAAACCACTGTGAAAAAATATCTGTCTGGATCCATCCAGACGGGTGACAAGCCCAAATAGATCTTGCCGGTGTACCCATTAAATGTTCAGACATGTGTCTCCTTGGGAACACAATTAAGGGAGGAATGAATGTCCCAACAGCGTTCATGCAGGCCACAACAGTCAGAAGTTTTCCTCTCTCAAGCGAAGTTGTTGTGCAGACTTGTTTTTTCCCTTTAAGCCAATAATTTTACTTTGCTTATGTTGCACAGCAGTTTTATCTACATTAAAAAGTCGGTGTGGCGAATAATTAACTTTTTCCGTCTCCTGTTTCGAAAATGTTGAAAAACTCACCGACACTTTCGGCATTGAAACCTTTCGCCCACGCTGAAGATAGAGCTTGAGGAGTCCATATAGATAACTGTGAGTGTCTGGCTAAAAAACCTTTGAGCCATTTTTTTCCGGCGCTTCCTTTAATTTTACTAAAGGGATGAGCTAGCCCGTTTCGTATTGCTAGCTGATATGCCATACATTTTGCATCTCTTCTTCTCAATCCATAGAATTTTTGTTCCATTTCTAGACAGTAATATGCCAAAAGTTTTTATAACTCCAGGGAGAGCCCGTCTTCGACCTACCTTTACATTGACAAGCTCTTCTGGATTTCTATCATCTTTCACATATCTTTCAAGTGTTCCTTAAAAGTAAAAAAAGAAAACGTAATTTCAGAATTACTAGAAATGCAAATCCGTTTTTACCTTTTGGAACTTCATATAGTTTAGAAGCCTTTTGGTATCCCGTTTCTTTGTTTGTTACAGCTTTCACCGCCCTGATCATGTTTTCTTTACTCCACTGCTTTCTTTTCTTACTTTGTTTAGGCATATCTAGAACAAGTTTCATTTTGCTAGAATATTTTAGAAAATGCATGGGGTTCCTTATATGAGATACATCTCTTATTAGGATCCCCATGCTATCGTGTATTAGGATCACATGACATAAAAAACAGACAAATTTTTTTTTTGTAAAAAAAGCCGATCGACTCTATTCCATGAATTAAAAATAAAGTACAAGACATGCGTTATGGAATCCATTAAACACATACCTCTAACTTCGTTGTAAGTTGACTCAAAACTCGCTTAAAACGTGATACTTTAAAACATTCACGACCACGAAAACACGAAATAGATAGCTAACCGATCCAGAGAACATCGAAAATAGGATTGCGGAAAGAGGTTTGCGTTCATTCCAAGACTTTGCTGAAGGAACCGTCACATGGCGACTTATATTCTTGAAAATACGAGGGGGTCTCATATTAGGGTACTTTCCTTTACAAATACAGTTAAGTCATTATTTACAAAAGCATCGCAGAACGCTCAAGTGGTACGTACTCCTAATATCGAAATATAGCTAAAATATGTCAATATGTCTCCTACAGCGGTTTTCCAGTCACGACACTACTGCAGACCAGTTGGAGTTTGTTACCTACGCCCACGATTTGCCAGGTTATTCTGATTATGAGGATTATACAGCGGACCGTTATGATACAATTTCTCCGTTGCTACCGGGATCAGAAGCTTCTTGATGATATGACGTCTTTGACTACAACTAAAAGCATTACATCTGCAACCCCCTACAACCCCCAAATTTCAATCCCTACAAAAACTTTATTGAAAGTGATCAGGAGCCTCTGAATTTTTTTTCGGGTTATTGCCTCTAGCTCCGCTACCAGTAGACCAATTTTCAAAAACTATGCTTTTTCATCCTTGGCATAGTAATAACCTTGTGTGAAAATTTTATTAAAGTCCTAGCGGTATTTCTCAAGTTATAGGCGGTTGTAAAATTAGCAGACCTACATACCGACGGTAATGAGTGGCATTGTTTTTCGTGACGGACATGTCATAATTATACATCCAAAAAACATAATATCTCAATTTCCGGTGTTGGCATAGGAAGCAAATTTTGTAGTACACGAAGCCCTAGTACTGAACTAGGTGTAGAACTCTGTCATGAGTCAACATTTCTTTTTCCGAATATAAAATTTGCAAATCGACACTTTGCTTCCATCTTGTACATTAACAGGTAATGCTTTTCTTGGGTATTGAGTATTTCCTCATAAATAATGATAATTGAATCTGGGCAACTTGGCGTGTCCGTTCGATTTGAATTAATGTGACCAGCTACTAGGTTCAAGTTGAATATTAGAATAGCATTTGCGTACAGGTGCGTGCATTCATATTCGTAGTTTACGATTGGAATGTGCTACTCTGATCTTCAAGTTAGTAGTGCTGGCCAAGGAAACTAGAAAGAGAAAGAGCTCACAATCATACCGTATCAACAAGATAGGACATAAGAATGCTTTTATGAGCGGTGTTGAATGCAGTTTGCGGTAGGCACTACTTTTTACTACCTACGCATACAGGTGAAAAGTTTTTGGATGCTATATGTACCTCAAGAAAAACCATGTCACTCATTTCCGTCGGTCTATCTTAACGCTAATCCTTGAACCGTCGGTAATTTGGAAAGTACCGCTTGGGCTTTGATTAAATCTGCACGACATTACTACTATGCCCAGAACGAAGAAGATTTATAGTTTTTAAAAATCAGTCCAGTGGTGGTGACGTAAAGAACAAAGAACGAAAGTTCGTTTTTTGACGTTTCAGATCATTTTCAGAAAAATACTTTCAGGGGTTAAAAATCGGGGTTAATGGTTGTAGGGGGTGGGGAAGGGTATATCTCAATTTTTCTAGCCTTAAAATAGACAAATACTTGTAGACGTGACACGCTGTCGCTTAGGACGATATCAATATACATGCGCCAGACTCTGGAATTACAGTAGCGCTAATGGTTGAGTAGCGTGGTTCAGAATTGTTACGAGGTGGTCGATACTTAGGGAAGAAACTAGTGTTAGCGTTATCAAATGGGTGGGGACTATAGAGTCTGGACTAATTGTATGGCTGACTTGATCCATTTAAGTTTTTTGTCATACATGTTACTAGCTAGTTCAGAGGGACTAACTTGTATCGATCTGATTACATCGATGCATGGGAAGTACTGAGCCAACCTACTTGATGCCATTTTTTCGTTGTCTAGTCTTGTACAATATGTGCGGTTCGAGAACAAGTGATCTCTGGTATAAACTGGATTGCATGGAGAGTATCTTCTTTACACTATATGGATGCGAGCGTTTTAAGACTGAGCCAAGAATATTCATTGGAATCTTTTAGTGGACAGTTTGAACATTACTTTAGACATAACCTCATAAATTATAACTTCTTGTCTAGTTTCAAGCATTGCAGATGGACATTTAAGAGTTTTTCAAGCCTGAAATTACTTGCAGTCCGTTGTTCATAATGATCCATAATAACTTCGTCTAAAGCCAAAAACAATTATTTGCAATTTGGTGTTTAAACAAATATCCACCGGGTTATCGCCTAGGAACCTCTTAATTCTTGTTAAGTAGCAAGACAAAAAAATCAAGTCGGAAGATGTTTGAAAAGATTGTGAGATTTTCGCTTTAATGTACGTATTATTCCATATGAATCTGAAGACCTTACGGAGGTATCTCAAACAGGCCTTGTGCATACTTGCTTTGAATATTTACAAAATATTTGAGCCTCAAGTTGAGTCATACAATTATCACATTTCATTACCGATAGAGTTACTAAACAAAGAACTATGTTTAAAAACTCAAACAACACACAATCCCAACGAATTATTTTCATTGCAAATAAAAGAAAAATGTCATTTACCTTCGAGAACAAAAGTAAACTTACAAGCTACTATAAATTTATCAAAATATTTGTCTAAGCCGCGTATTTATAAGTCGTGTAGCAGTGTGTACAAATGCGACAATGTGTCAGCGGCGGTTGATCCTCGAAAGAAAAATGAATCATAAAAAATTAAGTATATTAAATTCGTGCCTGCCCGCTCTAGGGAATAATCTTCTGATGTGAAATATGACCGTGATAAAATGTGACACATCATGATATCTGATATACGCTGCTATGTGCATGCGGCATGCGGGTGATACAGAGAAGCCAAGCCTAGAATAGTCTACATGAAAGCGCAAGTATAGAGGAAACTGGCCTAAACCGGAACCCTGGACTCAGTAGCTCTGCATCCTCTGATGTTATTGCCAAGTATAAATAGTAGCTTAGATATTTACCGTACTGGAGAGCACCTCACATCTCATGTAACTTGTTCATCCACGATTATGTGTTGCAATGTTGGAAAAAAAAATTAAAACCTCTAATAACGTTAAATATTTTGAAGTTATACAAATTTTTAAATTTTGGTAGTTTTCAAAATTGAAACTAGCCTTGAAGGTTTTGAAAATTCTAAAAATCTTGAAAACCTGTGATGTCAATAGTTACAGACTACTGTGAAATGCAAATGTTAAGTCTCCACTTCAGGATCACTCAAGGGACCGTTATTATTCCCATATTCTTTTGGAGGTTTTTTACACGAAAGCGGTCGCGCAGCCAGAAGCCTAAATACCAGGGCACTGCGGCTGCTATGAGGAGCTTAAAGAGACTTTGTTAATACGATTTTCAAACTGCCTAAGGTCAACAGAACTGAGAAAAGAATTCTTATGTAGATCATTCCACAGTCTCAATGCCATAGGGACAAAGGGGCGGTGGTATCGGGCAGATCTGGATGTACGAAGTTCGACACAGAATGGAAGGCCACAGTCAAGCGGGCCTATCTGGCCGGCTCATTGTACGGCATCACTGAGGAGCCCGTTGGCGTAGCGGTAGAACTAGATCGTCGACAGATCGCCAGTGCGAAAGGGTCCCGAGTTTGTCCGTTAGAGAAGAGTAATCGATCGGACAGCCCTCCTCGAGCATGGATAATATAGTTAGCTGCGTGACATGTAGATCGCTGGTGTCGGAAACCATACTACCTATCGCCAATTAAGCCGTGACTTTCGAGGTACTCCAGAACCTCCACATTTATGTGCCTCTCCATCACCTTACTTATAACAGAAGGCAGAGCTATAGGCCTGTTGTTGTAAGGGTCGGTCTTAGATTTCTTTTTTTGGGATGGATTGAGCAAGTTTCCTGTTTTCTGGGAAAGTGCCGGATTCGCAAGAACTGGAGAAAAACTAATGGACGGAAATTGACATCTCTGACAATTTTTTCCACAACTCGAGTCTATGGAAACTCCTAACACTATTCATGAACAATGCTTATCCAAGGTCCTTGACTAACAGAATTCTGTTCAGCTCTCCGTCCACTACTTTGCCAAATCAAAACAACAATAACAATAATTCCATCCCGTCCAACATAAATACAAATAATTCTCAAAACAATAGCAGTACCATTACACCATCAAATCCCAGAATTAGTTTTGTAGTATTGCCATACATTCAAAATCTAACTCCAAAATTGGCCAGACAATGTAGCACTTTAAATTGTCCTATTGCCTGTAAATCCGTCCTAACAATCAACAATTTAATTATTTTCCAAAATGAAATGTAGAGTTACGACGCTTAGCTTAACCAATACTGTCTACTCCACTAATTGTAATGGTTGCAATTAGATATATATATATATATATATATATATATATATATATATATAGGTGAAAAATTAAAGCTTCCGCCTTTTGTTGGGAACTTCGACAAAATTTATTTTTATTCTCTCTAGCTTTCAATGGTCTTTGCCATCATCATCAGGAGCTGCAATTACATTGATAACAGTAGCAACAATAGTGTAAAGTGAATTTAAATTAACTTACAGTAGTATGAGAGTATGTTACTAATTGTTGTTTAAGTTCAGGATGAGGTGAGGAAGAGGAAAAACATGGTGAAAGCTGCTTATTATATATTTATATAATTTTGACCATTGTACCATTTATCCAGCTTTATTTATTTTTTTCAAATAACTGGTCTAGACACAAGACTCATCCGCAACAACAACAATAGTTTATTGGTAGACTGGTACCAGAAACTCATGGCCTCAGGCCGGTTCCTCAATTTTAGGTCATACCATAAGCTAGGGATTAAAATCAACTTGGTGAAACAGATGAAAACAAGGGCAATCAGCATCTCAGATAATACTTTCCACTCTTCAAATTTACGGAAACTATCTAAACTGTTCATTAACAATGGTTATCCGAAGTGTCTGATTAACAAGATCTTGTTCATCTCACCTCCCAGTATTTTACCAAACTCTAAGGATACAAGCAAAAGTCTCACAGCTCCTAATAACAGAACTGATAGAATTCCCAACAACAACACCAATTCAAACAGTTCAACCACCATCCCAAATTCCAGATCTGGTTTTGGTGTCATGCCCTATATCAAGGAACTGACCCCTAAGCTGATCAGATTATGCAGTCCGTTGTACTGTCGAATTGCTTGCAAATCCGTCCTTACTATAAACTGCATTTTTTCAAAGATTAAAGACAGAGTAACGCTGCTTGGCTTAACCAACACAGTCTACTCTATCAATAGCAACAATTGCAACCAAATATACATAGGTCAGACCTCCAGATCCCTTAAAGGAAGGATTACATCACACAAAAGTGATTCTAGGCTTCATCCTGAAAGATGTACTCTAGCATCTCATATCAACACAACAGGCCATTCTATGAACTACACAAGTATCAAAGTTCTCGATAAAGGAAAACGCCTATCCAAACGTTTATTCCTGGAATTACTACTGTATCAATAAGAAGACAGACGTTAAGCAACTGAGCGTCATTTACTCATATTTGCTAAACTGCGAAAAATTCGAGCACTTACACATCTCCCCAAATTTTGACTCTTCACAACCATAAATGGAATCTGTTTCTTGGTCTATTCCACCAAAAAACTCCTTTCCATTAAAATTTTAATAACTGTTTACTCATAATTAAATAATAAAATATAGTTAATTCAACTGCCTCTGGTCGGGTTGACAAGTTCTTACCCAACATATCTTGAAAATCACACCATCTGAAGTGATTTGGCAACGTAGCACACGCCCACAAAAGAATTTTTGTTCCATCATTCGACACAGACACTGCTAACCTTCGGCCATCTGTCAAACGGTTCATCTTACTCATTATTCCATGCCCACCATTTTGTGCAATCATCGAGTGGCTTCACGATGTAATGCTTAACTTTCGTTTTAAATATTTTTTAATCTGTTTTTAACTTGTTCTTGTCATACAGCTGTGTGTAGTTTGTATAATTTTGACCATTGTACCATTTATCCAGCTTTCACCATGTTACTGGGTGTTTCCCTCATCCTTAACGTAAACAACAATTAGCACCATCCTCACATACTACTGTAAGTTAATTTAAATTCATTTTACACTATTGTTGCTACTGTTATCAATGTAATTGCAGCTCCTGATGATGACGGCAAATACCATTGAAAGCTAGAGGGAATAAAAAGGGTATAAAGAGTCCTCCTTGCTTAAATTTTGTCGAAGTACCCAACAAAAGGCGGAAGGTTTAATTTTTCACCTAACTGGAGTAGACGACAATGACGACGTCTCAAAAAAAAATATATATATATATATATACAGGGTGACCAATAAGTACAACGAAAAACTTAAGGAGAAGGCTTTGGACTGGCCTCCCAAATAACAAAAAATTACTTATATAAAAGTGTCACCGTTTCTGAGATATGGAATTTTTTCCTAAATTTTAAAGAAACGTACCTTTCCATCCGTGATCTTTAGCTGCATGTACAAATAAGTTTACACTTTGTTCATTTTTTCTATAAAATACTTGTGTGAACTTGTTGTAGGGTCCTCTTCGATTTTATTAAGCACAGCTTCTTCGATTTGGATGGTTCTTACACTTTCGGGTCTTCCTGCAACATGTGTGGATCTCTTGAGACTGCCTGTTTCACACAAAGTTTGTACATTAGGCAGCGGGCGTTGTGGAAATCGACCACCATACAAACGTCGTGATCGTCGAGCGTTACCCAGAGCCATTCCGTAAACGAAATGCAAATCTGTCTTTTCTTGATGACTGAACTGAACCATCATGACAATTAGTAATCACCAAAACTTATAAATATTTGGAGTCTAAAGGCTGCTACACACAGTGCCGCCGGGCAAGCCGCCGGCTAAGCCGCCGGCCTTGCCGCGCAAAGGAGCCGCCGTGGTGTGCCGGCGGGTTACGCGGCTTGCCGGCGTCACTTCGTTCCTGGCATTCGAGTGGTAGTGTTGTGCGGTTTGTGTGTTTAAACAAATTAAAATGTCGTTTAATTGGGACGACGAAGTTGTGCTGCTCTTAATTGAAAAATTTCATGAAAATGATATATTATGGAATCCCAGAAATGCAGCACTTCACTAGCTTTCTATGTGACTGTCACAACCGGAATGATGCTTGACGGCTTGTGCCGGCGGCATAGCCGCTCGGCATAAACCCGGCGGCATTGCCGCCGGCACTGTGTGTAGCAGCTTTTAGAATGACCAGACAAGAAAACAATATTTGACAGCTGTCGAATTATTTGAGAAAATAACTTAATTCAATTGGGTAGGTCATAGGTGTCTAGATAAGCACAATGCTTAAATATTAAAAATATTGCGATCAAAACAAATCGATGTCATACTATTTTTTCAAAAAATACTGGATAACATTATTCGTATCTACGTACATAGAGGGTCTGAAAACAACTGTAAATCATGTGATATTCAGCACAGGGCATACCTAATTAAAATAAAATACGTTCCATTCTTTTATAATTTTTGAGAAAAATATCATTTCTTTTAGTGCTAATATGTTCCGTAGCTTGAAAACAAAGCCGTTGCGGACCCATGTTCATATGGAAATTTCGTCTTCAAATTGGCCAAGGGTTCGATGGTTAAAGCTTGTCTACATACTTTTCTAACACCCTGTATATACATATATGTGGTTTCATCTAGCCAGAAAACCATGAAGTCCCTTCAG